GCCGGTCGGTAGCTCCGCGCGCGGCGCGCCGCCTTTCTTCCCCCCCGGTGGTTCCTGCAGGGAAGGGACGAGCGCGCTCGTCAGGACGGCCAGGCCGAGTTTCCTCTCTGCAAAGTGGGGGGGAAACGCGAAAATGGGAGCCGGCGCTCGCGTCACTTCAAGGTAAATGCGTATTGCAGGGCTTTGCAGCCCGAGCGAGAGAGGACATCTTACGATCCCGTGTGTCTTGGGGGGAAGTGATTCATGTTCCCTGAGCTGTCGCCTGTCACCCAGGGCACCAGCACGCCTGTTCCGCGGCCTTGCGGGTGCATTGCTTTCCAGCGTGTGGAGGGAAAACCGCTGTAGGCGACGCAACAAGTGACTCGGACGAAAGGCAGCTCTCCAGAGAGGAGAGGCAGATGGGTGCCCAGCCTAGGGCCGGTTTTATACTTCAACCAACCTCTGCTCACGGATGATAGCAGCAGCAGCCACTCTTTTCCCTTCTGTGCTTTAAGCAAGAACAAATTATAGGAAAAATATTGTGAAGTGTTAAAAATTAGACTGTAGAACTTGAAAGTGGCTGTGATTCTTATTTAAAATTTTCTTGCTCTCAGAGCATCACTGCGTTTGTTCGTTCTACCATTCTAACAAGATTTTTTCTTGGTACCACAAGGGGCAGGGACTAAAGGTTTGCTTGTGCTTGGGATTCGGCTGTCAGACCACAGAAATATTTAACAGTGCTCATGCAAATTGGAATGCAGATAAAAGTCAAACCGTGCTGATCGCAGCTTCTCTTATCCTAGGAACTGATAGGTTACAGACATGGCTTTCCAGTGAGCCCTTCTACCTACAAGTCACAATTTCATGCCTTTAATAGGAATGTAGACTTTTCTATGTATAGCATAGCAAAACTTAAGGGGTTGGGGTTTTTTTCCAAATCTCAAAAAAAGCCACGTACTTTTGTGAGTATTGTTTGTAATCTAAGAATTTTATTTTGTGTGAAAATCACGTTAGCCACCTACACCCTTTCTTGGCTCGTGTGCGAGCTCTTCAATGGGTGCTAAGAGTGCAAACGAAACCTGAGTTCAATGACACTGGAGAAAGTTCTGTTGACTTCACCGGAGTCATGATTTCACTCACTTCAAATAGGAGAATCTCAGCGAATCTGGTCCAGAGTTAATGAAAAAAAATGTACTCAAGACTGTTTAACGTCCTATTGCTATAAAAATAAATCTCAGTCTCACAGTTTAAAATTATAATAGGATTTTTTTTTGTTGGTCTCTTAAAGGTGCCCTGGTTCCTGTCATCTCTTTTCTTTTTTTTCTCTTTGGCAAATAATTGATTTTTTTTTTCCTCCTTTCTTTCTCAGAGGGCATAGAACAATGGATTTGCCTTGATTGGCTTTAGTTTGTTGTCACAAACATCATTGATAATGCGAGTGTCGTCAGTGCAGTTCTGGGAAGTATGACTTAATTAGTTAAACTGCTGGCTTTGCAGCAGCCAAATCAACAAACTGGAAGATGAGAACAATCACTGGGCTAATACTTACTTTTAAAACATTCTCAGTGGAATAGCTTACTTCAAATATAGAACAGAACGCTCCCAAACCAAGACAAACCATTTTCAAGGTAGAAATTGATTGTTGTGCCTCTCAATTACTGAGCAGGCAGTTCTGATTTTGTTGTTGTTGTTGTTGTTGATCATACCAAACAGAGAAGAGGAGGACCCTGAAACAGTGAATTTACCTCTGAGCATTACAAGGGCAGCAGCATTTATATACCTCTCGATGCCTTTATTTTTGCAGCCTTGTGTGTCCAGAGCGTCTCGGCCCCTGTGTCTGGCAGATACGGCTGGTGTTCAGTCATTAGCTTGCAGTACATACTGATTTCTTACATGGCTTGGTCCAGTTGTCCAATTCAAAATGCATCCCATCTCTTTTTCCGAGGTCAATGGTCTGTCATGCAAGAGGCCCAGATTCCCTTCCTGGCTGCGGCATAAAGCAAGTCGTGTCTTCGACTATGGATCATCTTGTCTGTCTCATTTATTTCTCCCATCGGTGTTCTGAGTAAATAAAGTGTAAAATAAGCTTGTCTTACTTGAGTAACGTGTCATAAATCATACTTGGGTGGGTTAAGTAGGAAAAATACTCATTTTATATAGAAAATTGCACCTGTAAGTGGAAATGAAGGGGTTTCTCAAAAAAACAAAAAGCACTTCAATTATTTAATTTTGGTGATACCCATGTGTTACAAGTGCTCTAGAACAGAGCAGATGAATAACCCACGGATGGATGAGTGTAATCCATTCACTTGTGTGTGAAGCCAAAGTCATTCAGAATCCAAATGCCATCAAAAGTCCAAGTGATGATCAGAAGTGTATTTGACAGTATGCTATAGGGAGCCAGAATAACATGACAAATGGCTTAACAAACCGAGTGACCAGGTCCTTTCATCTCCAGCTTATGTGATTTTATATTTGAGCCCTTCCGTTGGCTGGAGATGGTCAAAAGCAACGGGCGGTTGTGTATTAAGTGTGTGCCTGAGGATCTATCAGTATCGGATCAAGATGAAGGGATTTAAATTCCCCAGTTGACTGGTGAGGCTTTTTTTACAGTTATTTGAGCATATCTGCAGGGGTACTCTGTTTCAGTGTCCCTCATAGAGGAAAGGAGAATTTTGGATAGCCTAACTACTGTGTAAGTTACTCTTCTCTTTGGCACTGTGCATTTCTTTAACGGTAATCTGCCTTTTATGGACTTTGCTAACTAGGCACAGTCTTACCAAGGCCTCTAGTTTTACAGAAAAATCTTTACATAGCATTTTTGTTAAGCAACTAGACACTGCACTGTTGCCACTCGGTACTACTACAAATATTTGGCTTACTGTTACTTCAATTTAAGTGCATTTCACCCCATATACCGTGATGGAACAGAAAAAAAAGATACGTGTTTGTGTGTGCATGTGCATATACATACACACACATAAACACCTGCGGCTAATAAGTGTCTTTATTTGCCCGGCATGTGAAATGAGCAGCTAAGAGGATTACATTTCTGGTATCAAATAATCAACTATAGTTTGCTACTGATGATTTTGGAAGAAAGAATGAAGTTAACTTACTAAGAAAACTGGCGTGCTTCCCTGGTCAGAAGGTGCTGCCTTAAGGATGCAAAAAGGTACATGTTAATGTAAAGAGAATTTGAAGAGAAACGTGTCTTCAAAACTAGCACACCTCTTTTTCCTCCAGGGCTCCTGCTGTAGGTCATTTCGCTATGGCTGTTCAGGGGGTTGTAAATTTTGGGAAAGGACTGTCCTCCTCTGTACCTTCTACAGAGTAACTTGGCAAGTTCCAGGTGCTCAACAAATAATGCACATCCTTGCTGAGGCACTTGAGTGTCATGGCCAGCAGTCTTTATCTAATGTTAGCGATCTCTGAGGAAACACGATAGCTCCTTGTGGGTTTTGACTGGTATGTAGGCAACAGAAGAAGCATCCAACGCCCAGAATTGATGACCTAGTGACTAGTCTCATTAAGTCAGATTGTACCCTGATTTACTTACTCTGAAACCTTAATGGTCTCAGTGAGGTTAGAATTCACTCTGCGTACCATCAGCCTAACTGTGAAAGCAGAAAATTTGCACTGCCATCAAGCAGATGTAGTTCTTCCTAATGAACTAACTCACGGAGAAAAAAAAAAGAGGAAGTAATGCCAAGCTTGTGTCTGCTGGCACTTGGTGCAGGAAATGATACAGAAGTCTTCCTTAACTAACGGTAGGCCTATGTCTCACAAAAGCTGGATAAAGACCAGCTGCATGGGACAGCCTGCGTTTTGACCTCAACTGAGAATACACACCAAGGCCTCATTTTATAGTAGAAGTATGA